TCCGCTCTCGTGCAAATCGTGTACTTGCATGCGATCATCCAGCAGACGAGTGACAGCCGAATCAGAAACTTGATCAGCAATAACGACCACGGCTGAACGATGAGCAGTGGACATGACGAGATGGACGTGAAATGCACCAGGATGAAAACGTAATCCGACGATTGTCTACACCTATATATATATATATATATATATATATATGTGTGTGTGTGTGTGTGTGTATCTCCGCGAGCGCTAGAACGCTGACACTTCGGTTCGCATTTGTGAGACAACCAGAAATCACGTCCAGGATACTTGGCCAACTATGTAGTTGCATAATTACAGGTCAACAATTTGACACAGAACAGCAATCACGTACATTCACGCTACTAGGTGTGTGTGTGTGTGTGGTCACAGAGTCACGTGATACGAGGTTTGAGCCCCACGTAATCCGCCAATATGTGAAACGGGATGCGGTACTTTGTCACGCGAAATATATATGAAAAAGCACAGAACGGTTGAGTAGAGAGATAGCACACATCGGGCAAGTGTAGAGCACGTTTAACAAGTGTACGAGGCTGTCCATGGCTTCACAGAACGAATTGGTTCGCGTTGTCCACGAGACACGGGGTGTGGAGAGACCAGAAAAGCATAATACAGTTGGTGTGGGGATTACACATAAAAATAGGTGAAGAAAAAGAAACACGAATGACCAGAATGCAATGTGAGGATTGAGAGTTTTGGTGGGAAGAATTTGGTTCACACCATGGAATCATTCACGTGAGAAGCGGTCATTCATAGGGTTCGCGGTTGGCTAACTTTAAATTTCCGCGTGTGGGGAGGGGCTGAAATCACAGGGGATTGGAAAGAGGTATTCTTGTAACGACCTTGGCAACTTGCCATTCCGTTTGAGTGAGTCGTATTTATGTCTTACTGGATCACTTGGTTCATGGTGTTTGCATTTTACTCGGTGGGATTCGAACCCACCGAGGCTACTGAACTTTTCACAATTCCAACATGACACCTCAATCCGGTAAACAACCATTTGAACAATTCATCTTGCCTTGGGTGTTCATTCGGTGGACTCCGATGAATTTTAAAGAAAACCTATCGTGGCAGTTGGCTTACATGCAAACTGGTGGGAGTC